TACAAGCAAAAAGACACCTACACTTAGAAAAAATGCGAAATATAAAGTTCATCATTTATTTATTTCGAGCCTAGCTCGTAAATTCTCTGATATACTTTTGTTCATACAGACGGACGAACAAGAAATACCAGAAATTAAAGGAGGTTCCTAGTTATTTATGTTCCAAATAAAATTTTAGGGGAGTTTCCTTGTAATCTTCCTTCCAAGCATGCATCGTAACTGTGGCTTTTAAGTTGCGGGAGATATAGGCTTTAGAGCATTTTGGGGGCTGGAATCGGCGGAGTGAGTGTGACCGTAAAATCTTTATCGATCTCTTAGGGGACTTTCAAAATTTGGTTACTCTAGCTTATAAGTTGTAGAATATAAACGCATTTTTCATTTGTTGGCAGCGTCATTTGCCAATCTTTGAAGGACAACGACAATCTACCAACCAAATTTGGTGACCGTAGCCTTCAAATTGTGGTATGGATGATCGAAAATTGTTTTTAGAAACCTTTTTTCTAGTATTGAGGACAATTTTCTGAATTTTAATGCACGTTTTGTTTTTGAGTGTATATCCACGCACAATTTTATGAAGCAGTGGAAGGAAGAACAGCAGCAGGCTCTGTCAATCAGTTGCTTTTAAAAGCTTGGACCGAAGTTGCCATCTACAGGTCGTAGGACTACATCCAACTCAAACTGGCGCCACAGTGGCTACTGTAACACAACAGAACACAACACAACACAACACAACAACATGATGCACATGAACAAGCATGACGCGTTTGACAAAAGTTGCATAAATTAACGTTAAAAGCAATGGCCTTGGTTGTTGTTATTGCTGTTGTTACTTTGTTAGCGGCCCAGCCCACAGGCAGAAACATGCAATAAAGTCATCAAGTGATGCCTCTGTGGATGCTACTAGCATCGTCCTGCTCTCTTTGACAAAAACCACCGCAAAATGCATCGTAACATTTGCCGTCAATATTTTACAGTTCAACTTTTTGCAAGTCTGTTTATGTAGCTAAATTAAATTTCCTTTTGCCATTTTTGCCCATAACCAATTTAACTTAGTTAGCTTTGCACTGCGACTTTGTTAAGCAGAATAACGGATTGAAACCGAATTAGACACATATGCAGATATGTGGCATGTTGTAGCTGTAATATAACAATTCATAAGCCACCCCTAAATTGAAAGCTGAATCGGACCCCAAACGTTCACGTGTGGACATCACCCGCTGGGCTATGGCTGTGGATAAGCACGGAATACAGAAAAAACGTGTGCACAAATCTATATATAGGAATTAATGAATTATGAGTAAATAGATTTGTTTCGCTCTCGTGCATCTAAGCTTGTGTGCACTTGAGTGTAAGACAACAGAAATAGCAACCATACTTTGTAGGCAACACCTAGAAATACATTTATGTGTGCATTCTATAACGCTTTGATGTTTATCTTCCAGTTTGGTAATTAATTAAGTGAAAGCCCTTCCGGCCCTTTTAACTAATATGTGTTTGAGCTACTGGTGCACACCGAAGCTTTGTTGGCATTGTTCTACTAAGTTTCTAAAAAGCCGCCACATAGCGGTGGCCTAACCTACACCTAATAATTCGGTATATCTTTGATGGATTTATGTGGAAACTAGAATTGGGATTAATTAATTGAACTAGAAGGATGTGTGCTTGAATAGCATTCATAACTATTCTCTAAACACTCGCAATGTATTTCTTGTTTTTTTTTCTTCTTAAAATTTAGAATATTGTAAACAAAAAATGGGCTAGATCGAGTTCTAACTCAGGTCAACCCAGTGCTCTTCATTTCGAAGTTTGTAAAGCCTGCCAAGAGCCGCCCAGGAGCCTGTACTACTGGTATAGTCAGTGTCGAGTATTTGGTATATTTGTACGATTTAAAATAGAGGCGTTCAGTGTTTTATTGACTCCGTTAGGACCATGTGGCTGTTTGGCACACCGCTCGTCACTGCCACAAACAACAATGAATGACACCTATGTTATCATGACATTGCATTGAGGGTGTTGTTTAATTAAATTTCTGAAATTAAAATGTTTTGTTTATATAAATTGAAAAATGCGCAGACCAACTACGAGTCAATACGACAAAAGGACAAAAATAAAACAACACGACAGTGGCAGAATGTCAGGTGACATCAAAATGATATCGAAGTTTTTATGCTCTTATAGAATAACATGCTTTAGATCAAGTTTACAAAAATGTTTTGTACTCAACAGTATATTGTCAGAAGGAGATTATACAAGTTAGTGGCATTTTTTAAATAATGAATCATTTGTTTCCGAATTACTACTGATTGTCCACAATATTAAATGGCAAAAAGAGCATTTGCTTGTAGCGCATTATTTTTACCATAGAAAGTCGTTATACACTGCGACTGCTGCTGATGGGAGCCTGCCAGCTAGTTAGCGCTATTGTTTGCAACTCAAATAGGTGCTGGTGCGATATATTCAGTTTTCTTGGTTTAACAGCCTGCAAGTCAGTCATTCAGTGATTGAGTGTCATCAATGTTTTCAGACATTGGCAGGTGTGTGTCTGTGCCTGTCCCTCTCCCTCTGCCTGTCCCTCTGCCTGTCCCTCTGCCTTTGCATGTGCATGTTTATCCAACTACTGATGCCGGCTTTTCAATTTGATTCCTTTCATTACATTTCTGTTGTATTTCCATCAAACAGTGGCGATACACTTTTCAAAAATCTAAATTTTGATTGGAGCGTTTTGTAACATGAGTAAATGTAAAGAAATATTATAGAAAATTGTTTATATATTCTGAAATATCAAAGAAAGTTTCGAAATGCACGTTAATTGTTAATGAATCTGTAAACAATTTGATTTTCTATCGTTTTCTATGGATTCAGTTCTACCTTACTTCAAAATGTAACATATTTTGCCAATTTTTTTTACTTTAGTGGATCCCAAATAGTCGTCAGCTTTTTAGCTTCGTTTATTAACGTTTAAAATATGAAATATGTGCTAAATTCGCGCAAATATACAATTACGAACTCATGCCAAACTCAAATTGTAGGCGCAAGCAAAACAATAACAAATAACAAATAACAAAAACAAATTGCATACGTTCGTGCTCAGTGCGTTGCCCTTTCAAATTTTGCTCTGCCTGTTTCTGTGCCTCTGAGGAGAGTTCACGTCGAGTTTAAGCTTGATAATATCGTCGTATCCCATGCACTTTTCCGATGCTGATACGAACGACGCGCGCAGCTCGGTCTGGTAAGTGCTTAGTAATGGCTTTTGTGCGTGTGACCGTGCGCGTTACTCTCTTCCGCTCTCTTAAATTATCGACGCTCGCGAGCAATACTGCAGGTGCATTACGATTTTTGTGAGAGGCGTTCAACTAGTGTGATTTGTGCGTGCGTCGCGACCACTCTTCTAAAGTTAGTGCGCTTAGTGCGCGGCAATTGCACCATTATGAGCTTGAGCTTGAGTTTCTTGGTGCACCGTTATAATCTGCGCACTCGCCCGGCAAGCAGCATCAGTAGCAAAAACAACACTGCAATAAAATTAGCGAATGTCAACAATGCCAACAAGATCACAAAAGCATACAACGACATAGCATCAAAAGCGTATTTTGGCATATGGCAAAATTGTCAGACAATTTTCATATAATAGCAATGCCAAGAATAAAACCCTTATTTAGTTTTGCACTATATTTTATTACTTAAGAAAACAGATTTGAGAAATTATAATAATCTATGCTCATGAACATGACACAATGAGCCAATAATCCATGGTTTTCAGGCAGACAAATATTGGATACTTAACTTAATCTGGCATCGAAATTACAAGAACTAATCTTAATTACAAAAATTACGTATGACCCATATATGTACTTGATGGAGTGCCTCAAGGATAAAATGTATGTATTTTTACTATGTGATTCCCCATATTTCTTTTATTAATCTTTAAAGCGTTCAGTTAGTGCCATTCAATAAAAAACTTGCGTCCCCCAAACTAAATTTGCACATTACTAAACAAAATAAACAAAAGATGCCCAGGCGAGCAGAATAGCGTGGTTAGACTTATTTACCCATGTCAATCACTTTGTTGGTTGTTGTTGGTTGGTTTCCAAACGTTTCAATGAACTGTATATACAACTGATTCCCTTTATTTTATTACATTTTATCAATATAATAAACTCAAAGTACTTTACTTCCTTCCATTCAGTGACATATTCAAGACAGAATTTTCCTCTTACACTTTATTGATGTGAGCAAAAGCAGTTTAATTTTGTTGATCATTGACATGCTAAAATTCATTTGGTTGTGTGCACAAGCTCTCCATCACTTTGTGAAGAAGGCTGTCCCTTAAGACGACGAGGACGATGGAGATGAAACTGCGTTCAATTGGCGCAAAACCTTTTGATTTCCGACTCATTGCTGTCGAAATTTATACAAAGGCACGACGCATGAAAGTTGGGCACATCTAACCGAATATAACTGAATAAATGGTCAGCTAGTGTTCGTTGTCCCACAATACACAATGCACTTCGCAGGCAAAATTTGTAGATAGTGATATCCCCAAATCAATTCTGACGCCCATTGGCAGTGACAGCGAATACTCTATAGACGATTACAACAGCACCAGACAACCAATAATATTGAATTCAGAAAAACCTTCATCGGCTGATTCCAACTATCTGTTAGAAAGGTGCCAAGGTGCCTTACCAAGTGAAACATAAAAGATAATATTAAATAATGTGTGAACACCAAATAATTTGAGCACCCACTCCACAAAAAGCAATTAGATTATAGGCCGATAAGAACCAAAGTCAGTAAATAAATACGTGAAATAATAATAATGCGCTACATAAGTAGTTTGCTTGTAAGATTAAGTCCGAATAGTGAATTTTTATTCGAGTTTGTTTGATGTCAATCAAATCGCATCTGTTTCATGTTTATTGAATTTTAATATTGATTTTGTTGTTTACATTATTTTATTATTTTATTTTATATTGTGATGAATTTAAAAAACGTTCCTCAGTGATCATTTTTTTTATTGTTCTTTGGAATACAATTTGTTTTCTTAAATGCTAATTTTGGTAGAACATTTGTTAATATATTTCAGCTCATATCGAACTATGAATTTATATGATTTTGATTGATTTAGAAAAACGCTCGAAATTGTAATAAGCGAAAGTAATAAGAAGGTTCAGTCGTTTCTAATACCGTAGACCCAAAAGTTCGTAAAGGGGTATTTCCGTTACAGATTCGCTAGTGTTCATTTGGTGGAAGTCACCACCATCCAGTAAATATAGAGGTCTAGGCAATGCTGGATTACGTAAATAAAAATCAATCAGAGCCGTGGTGCTGCGAAGGTGAGTAATGCCTTTAAATATTTTTTCGCGCGTCAGCAGATCGTTGGGATAGACTGTATCGATGACCGTATCACCCGATCGTCTAACCCATGGTCGTTCCTTAAGTGGTACAGTTCGACCAAAGGCGCTAAGGATCAGCTTTTGTGGAACACGCATTGCATGGTCATTAATGTGCTTTTCGTACTTGAGCTCAATCGCCATCTGTAAAATCAAAATTGATGGAAATGTAGAAATGACACTGCTTAAACCTTGCACTTCTTACATGTGGCTTGTTCCATTTGTCGGCTACTGTTTTTGCTATGGCATTAACTTCTTTTGGGTCTGTTTTGACTGATGCCAAAAGCGTTCGATCGCCTTTGATTGAAAATAAATTCTTAACCTTCTCTGGCGTCATGGAGGTGTCCATTGTACCGATTGAGTTGAGCCAGTGAATAAAACGTTCTGCAGACTGTAAACAAATTGAAGCTATTTATATCAACATACAAATGTGTATTGCATTGTAAAACTAACCGCATCCATCAGGTTCTCTGCCTGCTCATCAAGCGTATACACGCAATCTCCCGGCTTGGACCGTTCCACTCGCGAGTCCCAGCAAACACGCTCGTCCCGTGTGGCGCACAGAAACTTCGCATACCAACTTGTCTTGTCAACACTGTGATGCGTGTGACCCACTGGCTCATCTAATCTAAGGTCGAATTTCTCAAACTCATTATCCATGCGAACTATATCCGAGTGTTGGCTTTCATTAAAGTGCTCTTCCACTTTTTTTCGCCCTCCGCCCGTTATCTAAAATAATAAATAGAGCAACTTATTTTATTTTTTAGGATTGTTTTTAATCTGCCGCTGTACTTACGAGCTGGTCCGCTTTCTGTTGTTCATCTCCGCTAGCCAGCTCACTGTCTATCTGATAATCAGGTGGCCGTTCTTTGCGCATTTCATCCCGAATAAAAACCACATCGTCTGAATTTGAGAAGTCGTAGGATTGTATCTGCTTCACGCGCTCGCGCAGATGTGGTGGCAGGACTAATGAATAGTCGATTACTGGTAAGCGTGGCTGGGAAATGCAGTGTACAGCGTACTCCAACTCTTCAATGACATTGCGCCAATATGACTTGCCACGAAGGCTGCCACGTTGGCGAAGATGTGCGAATTCGCTTAGAATACTGTTTGACGTATTGGGTGCAGGTCTGTTGCCGTCACGTTGCCCTCTAGATGTATTCACTGTTGCTTCCTTGCTGGCATGACTCTCTTCACTGGCTCCGCTAGGTCGGTTAGAGCGGGTGTTTTGACTGACGGAATAATTGCCAGACGACCAATTTTTTAATCCTTGTTTGTCGGAGTCCATTGGAAACTTCAATTGCTCGTCTAATTCTATATGTAGTAAAGCTTGTATATTTTGCTTTTCGAGAATGTTTGTTCAATAGTCTGAGGTGTCAAGAAAAGGTTGATTTGAATTTAAAAGCTTACATATTAACAAAGCTTTTTGGTTTAAGTATTAGCTATTCATAAATAAGTTGCCCAGCCGGGAAAAATAACAAAGTAGGTGGATTTATTGAATATAAGCTCCCCACCGAAAAAGCTTTTTGCGAATTTAGTAACCAGGCCGAATGCGCTTAAAGCTCAATATGCAAGTTATACGAGGGGTGCTTATAAAAAGGCAAGAATTCTTCGAGTAAAATAGTTATATATATAGGGATTTTACTTGATTTAACTGAAACTCTTCTCAAGTTTCGTGAACTCTCAAAAATGTATAAAAAAACATTTAAATTTTTTTAAATTATATAGTACATTTTTGCATAAGACAGTCTTTGAATGAGCTCATGTATATATGTATATATAAAGGAGTGCGTACATATATAGAAAATGCTTGTGCGCTTTGATAAATCGAGTATTTACCTATTTTAAATGGGCTTAGAGTACAAGCAGAAGACTACCAGAAATTAGAAATTATACTTAAGTAAATAGATTCATCTAGATAACCTCTTGTGAAGCATCTGCATTTTAATGCATTTATTTACTGAACTGCCCTTCTTTATGTGAAACGCATGCGCCTTACATTTTATTGATACTTTGCGGTAAAACTTAATTTGTCATATTGACCAAGTCAATTTCTTGCCTTAGGTAATAGCAGCACACTCTTACTCGTTGATAATCACACAAATAATTACATTTTATTGTAAAAGCCATTTTACTATATTTCAGAAATATTATCTATTTTAAATAGTTATTTCTAAAAACTTAAATTTTTTCTAGCTTTCATGACGATTTTAAGCATATGGTGATTTCGAAATTTCAGGGCGATTTTTTTTCTGAGTGTATAACTGCCACAATTCGAGAGCATCAGCTAACAAATTTGAAAATTGATTCGAATAATCCAAAGGTTGTCACCAAATGCAAGAGGTGTGTTAATGAAAGCATGTCGAGGCGGACCCAGTCACTGCCGTCATATTCCCACCCCTCCAAGATGTTTTTATTGCTACTGTATTCAGCTGGTATTAGAGTCTAAAGTGTATCAGAGTATTCCACAGTGTGTTACTACCGAGTGCAACGTTCTTACTTATTGCTTTTAGAGTTATATTACATCAGTAACGAAAGGGAATTCAGCTTCAGTACATTGTCCCAAAGAATTCAATATCTCGGAATCTAAGCGTCCGTGACGTTGCCTGTGTGCCAAGGAAGAAGGGATATCCATGAGTGACAAAGACAACTTTGCAAAAATTGTGCGCATATTAAAATTCTTGGCAAAAGCTTTTGACATAAATTAAAACTTTTTATCAACGAACACATGGCACAAATACAAGCACACGCGCCTCTGCGAAAAGCAAAAGGTGCTGCTTTATACGCAGAAACATACACTTTAAGAAATAATTACGTTATAAATTCAATAACATTTGAGATTGAATTAGTTAATATATATATATATATATTTTTTTTTTTTTTTTTGTCACTCAATTGTTTTAAAATAAACACAACACGTGCTTAAAATTTTATACTTTGGAAGTTTACGAATAAATGTCTGGTGTAGGGTTTTCGATCGTAAGCGAGGTTTTCAAAATACTTCTGTTCGAGCACAAAGTGCTTTCGTTCGCTGAGTATTTATATATCTATGTATATATAAAGTCATAGTATACTTTTATGTTCATACTCTGTTCCACATAACCGAAATTTGTTGGATGCTATATTAGTTTGAGACCCTGTTATTACACTGAGATTTGAAAATTGTAGTTAATGTTAACTGCACTGACACAGGTATAGTGACTTGATTACAGCAATAATATGTGTGCATTTTATGAAGATATTTGTTACATTTTTATGTGATGGGGTAATGCGATTCAGATTCGAATAGTTAGCTTGTTTTTTTTTTCAGCAATTGACACACCAACGTCAGCATTAACGATGGGCGCGCCATTCCAAGTCGTTTATATAGCGCGTTGACATATTCGAAGGCTGATTAAAAACTTTTTTAATTAATTTCCATGCCAAAAATAACTGGCAAATCGAGAGGGGTTGCTAAATATATATGTATGTATTGCGTGGCCACCCCAAAACGTCGCTGGTACAAAAGCCATCGTCAAATCAATTGAACGAAAAGTTTTCCGAGCCTGTGTGCCTGGGTCAGGTTTGGGTTATTTGTATGTAAGTGTGTATGTATGAGCCATGGGCATTGACTCTAATCTATATGAGGTTTGAGGCTATGTGAATATATAGCTTGAAACATTGATATGACTTACTACGCTATCAAACAGCGCATTATTGCTTTACTGAGCGCATCAAAAATTAATTTTACTCCATTGCTTGCAGGGCGGCTGTGGCTCAGTGTCAAGTTTTTGGCTAAAAATTATTTATGAGCTTACTACGCGAATCTATGGTGTTTGAGTCTTGAAGCTGTCACCTACGTGATTGTTGGCACTAGCGCGTGATTTTTCTGCCTGTGACAAAACTTTTGCAATAATATATAAATCAAAACGTCAGAAAGTCACGGCGCTTCGATCCGGTCTGCGCTTAGTGTCACATTTTATTTGCTTTTATTTAAGCAACAGTTCGTTTTGGCAAGATATTTTCGTGAGCAATTTAAGTTGCTATTATTTAACAATGATGTGCATTTAATATAAATTGCTATATGTTTCAGTGTCTATTCGTGAGGAGCACACCGACTAACACAAAAACCGCCTACGACCGACCGCCCGAACGCCCGAACGCCCGAACGCCCGAACGCCCGCCCGCCCAGCTGTTACCTGTCTGAAGTTTTCTTTGTGTTTGTCATATTCGCTGCATCGTCCTTTCCTTTCAACTTCTTTTATTTTTTACATTCATGGAAATATGTCACAAAATTTATTGCAAAATAATTTTGCTGCTGTGACTGTGGCTCTGCTCTAATGTTCATGACGCCTCGTAGCCTCGTAGCCCATGTGAACGGCACCACTCACCCGTCATCTTAGCTATTTAAGGGAATATCTCTCTGGCAACTTTGTGTTTGTTCTCGTCTTTGCGCTCGTCACGCTCTTATTCTTTTTGCACATTAAAATATTAAAAATTCCTTTAGAATGCAAAGAATGCCTGTGATACTGTATGCGGTTCTAAAACTTTTCAGTTCAGAATAAATATTTATTTTCTTTTTTCACCACAAATCGTTTAAGTCTAAGTCAACCATAAAATTGCCTTTGATGAGCAACTTAACTTGAAAAAAATGCTTTCAATTGTAATTTTCTTATACTCTCTGTACTTATAAATAAAAAGAAAAATGTAAAAACATCTAATTGAAAATGTATACAAAATGCAACATCTCCGATTTGTAAAGTGTATACGAGTATGTACATATATATATATCTGATCTACGATATGATCTTCTTCTATCTTCTTGCTGGACCTTTTTTTAAATTTTATTTTGAAATAACTTGTGATAGCAAAAGATCAACGATAATTTACTGTAAGACGATATCAGAACACTCGAATAATATTAAAATATAAACAAGTGTAGAAAGCTCTAGTTGAGAGAGCTGGACAGCGAGATATGTTAGGCCCAGAAGATAAATATATGAATTTAGTTTTATTGATGAATTTCCATTTGAAAAACTTATACAAGTGTACTCAAAAATAATCGAAGGCACCCCGGAACTGAAAGCAGCCAGGCTGACGGACGTAGTTAGATGGGCCCGACTGCTGACAGACGTAGTTAGATCGGCCCGACTGTTGATGCTGATCTATAATAGATCTATGTAGAATCATTATGCTTTATAGCAGGCAGAAGTGTTACATGCCTTTGCACAACAAGGGTAAACTGAAAACATTTGTTTACCCAATTTGAATGGGATCAGAGTATAAGAAAATAAAACGTCTCTGTTTACGAACTTCACTATACACATGTATTTGCATTGAAGATTATCAGTGTTCTAGCTGACCCCTCTCACTGAATTTGCAATGCAGTTTCGCTTCAGTTTCCATTGCAATTACATTGCAAAAATTGTGGCATGTGGACTTCGCTTGCAAACAAAATTAAATGAAACGAGTGCAGCGGTAGTACGCAAATGTTTGTTTTTGTGCGTTTCAATCCGTTTGAATGCGAAATATTTCACAAATATTTTCAAAAATGCGCTCAAAAGCGATTCAATGTAACCATCTGGGCATGATTGTATGTATGTATGTATGTATATATACAAACATGTGTGGTGAAGAAAGGGGTCGGGATCTGTATGATCTCTGTGCCTGTTTAAACAATTTCGCAATGTAAATCGACAAATACATACTCAGACAGACGATATAAATTATAACGTACTTACGACCGTAGATGATGAGAGATGAGGATGTTATGGCTTTGCCATATCAAACGAACAAAATAACAACATGACAGCCGCTTTGTGTGCCAATTTCAACCCTCTTTTTACCACAACTTTATTTGTAAATTATTTTTAATTGAAATGGATTGGAACAAACACACATTGAAACAGGTAAAATTGCAACACTAAAAAAATACTCATTTAAAAAAGAATTCTAGATTTGCTATTATATTCTATTCTAGCTAAATCCTTTGCGAATTCTTAAGTTAAATAACACAAACAGTGAATTAAGCGACACATTTTGTGGTGTTTATTATTAGTATATATAAAAGATTTGGTCTTTGTTTTATTTTTTTGACTTTGAGATTCACTTGATGTAATTTCCCGATTGTATGAATACGGGATTTAAAATTATTCATTCGCTTGACGACTTTACTATCTAAAGCTAACCAATGTGTTTTATTCGATAGTAAAAAGGAGGCAGGGTCACTTGTTTTGTGATTTATTAACTAATTTAACTGAAATATTATTTATGCCAGCATTAACACCAAAAAGGAGACATAGACAAGTCGATTTTCGAGTCGAAGCTTTGGAGGTTAACAACAA